CATATACACATATACATACATACATACATACGTGTGTGTATATAAATGTGTGTGTATATGTATGTATATATGCATATGTATACACATATATGTGTGTATATGTGTGTGTGTGTGTATATATATATACATATATATATATATATATATATATATATATATATATAAAATCTATATATATATCATGGCATAGCTTAAGACTATATATAAGACTAGAAGCCTGGAGCTATAAAGGTATGATCTTAGCTCTACCACTAACTAGTCACGTGACTTTGAGCCTCTGGGTTTCAGTTTCTGAATTTGTGGAAAGAAGGTTTTCGACTACATAATCATAGACTGTCCATGCTCAGAGGAATTTTAGAAATAATCCAGTATTATAGTTCCATTATAATTAAGATTACACGACCCTACATAGGAGCAAAATAACTGATCAGTTGGGTCAGTTTGGTGGGGAAATCCATCAATAAAACAAGTTATCATTTTTATTTAAAATAAATGATTGGTTGGTGGACTAAAGCTTTTAAGTATTATTGCCTTCTTAGACAAAGCTAAATCCCCTAAAATTTCTCTGAGAAGAAAGTCAGAAAGCTTAAGGTTTTATTTGTTTTTGGAAAAATACAAATAATCTCCTTGGAAGAAGTTGTTCCAGAAATTTATTGCTAAATCAGTTGGTTAGAACTCAAGTCAGGTTTTAGGAATTAAGAACAAGAATTGAGAAAAGTTGCCCTCCATGGTGGGTAGCTTCCTAGTCCAGCATCACCTACGTTAATCTGTAACATGAATGAAATATAGAGTCTAATCATTACATATAACTTCTATCCATCCTATGTAATGCAATCCATCATGTAATGCAATAAAACAAACATTTATTAGGCATGTACTGTATGCGGGGCACTGTGCTAAATAAGCTGTGGCAAAGGAAAGAAAGAAGGAAGGAAGGAAAGAAAAAAGGAAGGATAGAAAGAAGGAAGCAATGAAAGGGAGGGAGGGAGGAAGAGGGAAGGGAAAAGAAGGAAGAGAGGAAGAAAGAAAGAACAGAGGAAGGAAGGAAAAGAGAGAAAGAAGAAAAGAAAGAAACACACACTCAAGAAGCTTACAATCTATGGAGGAAGACAACATACAAAAGGAAACTGGAAGGTAGGGATGGGAGGGGGTTGACACCAGGGAGCACCCAGTGCAGGGGCATCAGGTTCTGTGAAGTTCAAACCAAACAGAGCTGCAGATGGAAAATGGAGAGTTAGCTGCAAAATACAGATCCTATCCTCCATAAAGGGCAGATATGAGAGAAGTTTAGTGCTCTACTCTCCAGCCCTCCAATCAGAAAGGGACAGATGGCTGAGAGAATTAGGAAGGTGCTAGGTATCCAGAGCTGAATTATGGGTACAATGATGAGATTTCCTAGGATCATTTATTCTGTGTTCTGTGAAGTTCAGACCAAGTGGAGCTGCAGACGGCAAGTGTCACATAGGAGAGTTCCCTCTAAGACTTGAGAGCAATGGGGGAGAAGGCTTAGAAATATTGCTATAAACTGGGAAGCAGCTCAGAGATAGTATAGTCCAATTTTCCCATTTTCTGAGGCCCAGAGAGGTTAAGTGACTTACCCGAAGTTACACAGATAGTAAGGATTAGAGGCAAGATTTAAACCCAGATATTTAGACTATAAAGCCAATGTTTTTTCAGTTGCATCATACTTCTATGGCATTGATGACTTCCGAGATTAGGGTAGTGTAGATGTGTGTTAGGAATCCAACAGGTAGTGTTTTAGTGTAAGTAGGGGAGAGTGAAGGGTCGCTAGTGGCAGTAGTAATTTGTTTATACAGATCTGTACTAGCCAGGGGAAGTATGAAACTGTACCCTGAAATTTCATCAAATCTGAGATATGTTAGACCTGATTAGGGGATCCTAACTCTAACCCTAACCCGAAATGCACCCCTCCAACCCTAAATGTGCCTTTGACTCTGCCCCTGATTCTAACCTGAACCCTAACTCTATTCTCATTTCCCTACTATTCATATCTGGATACTATCCCTGTAAATTTCAAGCCTAGTCCAGGAGTTCAAAGGCTAATATGAATTCAGAAACACACCCCATTTGTAAGCTACTTAAGAAAAGTGTTTTCTTGATGCTTTTATTTTAAAATACCACTTTCGCTTTCCATGCCTCTCACCCTCTCTTTCAACCTCTATCAAACCCTCCTTCATAAGAAATTAATGCAGTCATCCAAAAGAATAAACATAGTGGCCGTTTCTGAAAATCTGACTCATTCTATACCTGTAAGTCCACCACATCTCTATTGAGAGATGAGAGGCATGTTTCAATGTAATAGATTACTTTGTTTTATTCATTTTTTTTTTAGGCAATTGGGGTTAAGTGACTTGCCCAAGGCCACACAGCTAGTAAGTGTCAAGTGATTGGTCTGAGGCTGGATTTGAACTCAGGTCCTCCTGACTTCAGGGTCGGTGCTCTATCCACTGCACCACCTACGTGCCCCTTAATAGATTACTTGGAAAATGGAAAAATAAGCCCTCCGATTAAAAGATTCCAAACCCTCTTTACTCCAATCTATCCATTTCTACTTGTCCATGTCCATAGGGGACTTAAATATGTGGAGCAGTTTAGTATAGTAGAAGAGGCAAACTGACTTTGGGAGTAAAATGTTCTAACTTCACATTGGGACCTTAGCGAAGTTGCTTCTCTCTCTCTCTCAACCTCAGTTTCTTCATCTGTAAAATGAGACCATAGGACTAAATTGGTTCCAGTTTCCCTCCTCTGATCCTATTTCCATGTTGAAGCATATTTTTAGTCAGATCAGCATCCAGCACATATTCAAGACCTTAATAAATGGTAGTTATTTTTAAAATATCTCATATTACCCAATTAATGGGAGAATTAGGAAATGTGTGTCATTGACATAAAGTGAAAGGAGCCATACATTGCATAACAGAGCAAGCCTGTTGAGCCAGAGTATGTGACTGCTTGATATAAAGTACTTTGAGCATAAAATCATAATGTGGACCTTTCCTCTTACCTGAAGTTGCACAAGAAGCTGTAAATTTGTCTTTTAATGAAAAATGATGTTGGCGTATCATTTCCATTTTCTTTTGGCACAGCTGTCAATTTCAGAATTATACTAAACTCAGGTTTACTGTGAGTTTCAATTACAATGTCAAAAACACTAAATTGTGGAAAGTTTGAAATGAAAAGTTTAATTTCTCAGTGAATGAGAGGCATTGGTATAGTGGTAGAGGGAAAGCCTTGGGGATGGCAAAATTTAGGTTCAGGTCCCATCTCTGACAATAAATGACATTAGGCAAATAAATTTAATCTGTCAATGCTTCACACAAGTCTGTAAAGATTCTAAGTTACGGAAGAATTGCTTATCTGTACTTGCACAAAACTTACATACATTGATAATATCATAGGTATGGACCAAAAGAAAAAAAATTTAAGAGTTCAGCTCAGTCTAGACCATTGTAACAGTGGTTTATCAAAGTGTGTTCCATGGACTTCTGAGTATCCCTTTCATGTGACCCACAAAGTCAAAACTATTTTCATAATAATCTTAAGATTTTATTTTTCTATTAAAACATTCTTCTCTTTTCCAACTACATATGAAGCCAAGTTTTCTTCATATACTCCAAGCAAAACAACATATTGCAACAGTTTGAATAAATGAAAAAATAAGAGAATCCACTTGTCTTTAAGCCAGACATTAGATTTGCAAAAGTATGTAAAACGATGCTACTCTTCTCACTATTTTTCTATTTTAGAAAACATTTTTTAATTAAAATATGGAATTTATTAAAATATATTAACATGCAATGGGTATGAATTAATAAATATTTAAGTTGTATTGCTTTTAATTTCCAATATGGTAAATATTGATAGTTATAACCTACATAAACAGAAGTTCTTTGGGATCCTCAAGAATTTTTAAGAATATAGGTTTGCACTAGAATCCTATGTGACTAACTGGGTGTAACATTTTCAGGGGAGGAAGAATGATACAAAGGAAAGAACACTGCATTTAGAGTAAAATGAACTGAATTTATTCCCAGCTCTGCCTTTTACTAATTCTATAATCTTAAGCTACTCACTGGGTCTTTCAGATCCTCAGTTTTCTCATCTGTAAAAATGAGGAATTTAGACAATATGACCACCAAGATCTCTTCTAGCTATAAATCTATGATCTGCAGCTATTGGTTTGCTCAATGTGTGAATGAATAGTAAAGAACCTAAAAGTACCAATTCATGCTCTTCCCCAGGCAGCCTTGATGAATCAACCATTCCTCCCAAGGCTTTTAGTCATGCACAGTTCTGCTGGTTTGGAGGGTGGAGGGCAAAGAGATCCAAGCCACAAAGTCTCTTTGATATCTCAAAATTAAGGAGTATAACTATATAAAGTATAGTTAATTTAAAAGAATATGAAAATATAGCATATGTAATAATACATGTAAAGCATGTGAAAATCATGAAAAGCTTTACACAGAAAATGTAATTGAATGGGCAGCTGTTGCCATGTTGATTTTTCCACCTAGAACAAAGAAACTTTTATCAGAAAATTCTTCCAAGTAATGTTATTAGTAACAGTTATATGAAAAATGGGCTTATTTTATTATCAGTAACCCTTTAGCTTCAGATTTGGAAAAATTGACATAATTTAAAAAATTTAAATGAATGTTCATTGATCTATTTTGTTTTTATATCACCAACATTTCTCCCAGTATCTTTTCTTTCTCCTCCCAGAGAGCCATCTCATATAAAAAATATTTTTTAAGAAAAGAGAAAAAGAGGAAGAAGAGGAAAATTTAGCAAAACTAATCAACATGTCAAAAAATCTAAAAATATATATACTGTTCCACACCCATCTTTTCACTTCTTCAAAGGAGTGGGGTGGGGATATCTTTTCATGTCAGGAAAATTGACTGTGAATAATTTTCCCAAGATTCTGTTAATCTACAGAGAGAGGAAAAAAAGCAAACTTGTTACTTATGTGCCCCTAGATTCTCATGATGCAGTTTTGAGATTTAACTCTGCTCCTACACATGGTTATGAAAGAGATGTTGGAAATAAAACAACAATGCGCATCATTAATTCCCAGGTAAGATTAATGGTCTGTGCATACAGATGTATGTTGGATTATGTAGATAAAAATCCATGTTTGCTAATGTTCATGTATCTCAGTGTTCCATAAGTGAAATGAATTGGGGGTCAGTAATGAGAAAATAGGAGCCAGAAAAATGACAGGCATGAATTCTACAGTGTTAAAGTGAGAAAGTATTTTGAATAATATCTTTCATTTTCTAGGAAAATGAAGCCTAGAGAAGCTAGGTACCTTGTCTAATGTGACATAGCTAGCTACTAGTAAGAGTGGGAGTTATGCTTCCTGATTCACCATTCAGAGATCTTTCAGTACCCCATGCTGGCAGCCTCCATGAGCTGACATAGGAGAAGACAGATTGGTACGTAGAAGACCAGAACAGGAACATTCCTGAAAGAAAGGTGGTAATAGACATGAGGGTGGGAGTGGGGGCCGGAAAAAGCACTGTATATTTTCATGGATAGGCATGAGAATGCTATTGCAGTTGGTGAATTACATTTGCATAGGCAACCTAGAAAAACAAAAGCTAAAAGAACGTGAAGACAGAAGGTTGGGGAGGAAAATGCAGGATGGTAAAGAAGCTAAAATGAGTTTGATCATAGCACTAATACCGTAAAATTATGAGGTTATTGTGGGCATAACACCCAACTTCTCATTAATGTGAAGCAGTGTGATATAGCATTCTAAATACTATGGTTCAAATCCTGCCTGTAATGCTTACTATGTATGTGACCTTAAGCAAATCGAATACTCTGCTTGACCTTTTGTAAAATAAGGGGGTTAGATTAGATAGTCTCAGAGGTCCACTCAAGCTCTAGAATCGTATAATTTTGACAGAAGTGGGTAAATACAATATCTTGCATGTTCCTTTTATTTTCACAAGAAAAAAAATCTCTTTGCCTACTGTCTAAACTAAAACTTTTATACACACCTGTTTAGTGTAATGATTTCATTACATTACTAAACCTTTATATTATTTGCTATTTTATGAGTGTTTATTAAAAAAGCATAAAGGTACCTGACATTTGGGGTAATTTTAAGTTTATATGTACATTTGTAATATAAGCTGTGCTAAGACTTGTCTATGTTATGTTTGCAATTCATCTCGTGAAATCTGTAGGATGTACCTTATGATCTATACATTTTGAATGAGAATAATTTTTTTTGCAGCTTTTAAAATGAAAACTGAGCATTCTGTGAAAAATACAAATAATCAATTTTGCATGTTTCAAAAAAAAAATTCTTCATCCCACTGATTTATACCAAAATTATTCTTAGAGCCACAGTAGGTATTCTAATCTTCCAATCTGTATTAGAAAAACTGAGATACAGAGTTGTTGAGTGAGTTATCTTGAGTCCAAGGCACAGGTAAAGATTAGCCTTCTACATAGTCCACTGAGCCTACAGCAAGTGGAGAAGCAAATCAAATACATTTTACCTAAGATGTGCACGCGCACACACACACACACACACACACACACACAGAGAGAGAGAGAGAGAGAGAGAGAGAGAGAGAGAGAGAGAGAGAGAGAGAGAGAGAGAGAGAGAGAGAGAGAGAGAAAGAGAAAGATTGGGAGGGTTTAGCAAGAACGTCCTTGCTCCAAGGACTACAACAAGTCAAGTGCTTCTTTATTGTGGGGTGCTTTTCAGAAGTCTTGTGACATCACTCTAGAACAGCCTCCATGCCCTAGTTAAGTGAGGCACCCACATAGCCAATCCAAACAATTCTAGCCAAAGCGGTAAAGAAGAGGTAGCAGTGCAATGAATGAAAAATTTTAAGTCGGAAGACTTTTCCAGTTCTAGCTCTGCCACTAGTTACCGGTGTCAACTTCAGACAATTCACTTAACCTCTCTGTGCCTCTGTTTCCTAATCGGTAAAATGAGGAAATTGGACAATGTGGCTGAACTCTAAGGCCTTTTCCATCTTGGAATATCTGAATTTATGGGGAATCCTAAGATTGCTAAGAAATTACAATGGGGTAGACTTCATATAGCACTGGCAAAAATGTCACTAAAGAAATGGCAGAAAAGATGGAGTATGGAAATTCAACTTCTTAATCAAAATTGAGTTGGTCCATTAGAAAGGACTTGCAAGGAAGAAAAATCAGGGTGGTTCATACTCTTTTTATTTACATGGATTCAACCTTATAAGATATTCATCCTGATCTGATATGTTGCTTCTGCAGAGGTTGTTTTATTGTATTTTATGTTTCTAGATTCTGACCAACCCAAACCATCACTTCATTGACAGTTCATTATATAAGGATGTCATTTTAGTGGCTTGGGACCCTGCTCCTTACTCGGCAAATCTTCACATGGTAAGACTAGCCAATTTTTTTTCTCTTGGCCTAGCTAGCAGTCTGATTTGTTGAATCAAATTTCTTTTTTATTCACTGAGACAAGTATAGCCTCTGGCTAATTAATAGTGGGAAACATGAACGTTTTTAGCTTGAGGAACAGAATTATCCTGATCATGTAACCACACTGATACAATATACATAATAATTATTAGCCTGTTAGTAAAATGTTCATCTTCTCTCTTTTCTTCTTCCCCTCAATTGTAAAATGCCAGGATGTTCTTCTGAGGGGTTCTAACTATCCTGGGACATGGGTTAATTTAACTAAGATTTTCTCATTTTTAAGGATTTACATTCTACTGACCTACATCTATTAGACCCATTTAAAGGACCTTTTAACAATGAAAATAATCAGCAAGGGAATGCAAATTCTTCTATCACTTAAATTTCATTATTATCTCAATGTACCATTCATATTTGTCTGTAATATGCCTCATTTGGACCCTACCCCAGATGTTTTTATGTTATTTGATAGAATGATAAAAAGGTCTGGATTTGTGCTTAGAAAATATGGCATTTCCTAACTCTGCAGTTTACTGGTTGATTCTGGCAATTCATTTAAACTTTTGAGCCTCAGTTTTCTCAACTTTTAAGAAGGCACAGTGCTTATAGTATCTGTGTCATTGAGCAGAGGATCAAATGATATGTATTAAGTAAACTTTAAACTGAAAAATCATTGTATCTATGAGAGCTCTCATTAATATTTTCTATTATCACTTAAACCTCAGACTTACAGGATCAAAAAAATCAATAAACAAATATTTATTAACTGCTTAAGGCATTGTGCTAAGCACTAGGGATATTAAAATGAATGTGAGACAGTCCCTGTCCTCAAGGAAACTACATTCTAACAGATATGACAGTCAATGAGGTAATATCTGTAAAGCCCAACCTTATGATGTATGCACTATATTGTAGTTCTGTGTGCCATCTAAATAATATTATTATGAAGATAAATAATAACAGAAGTAGTGATATACTAGTTATGAAAAAATACAGGTGAGCTATATATGGGATATCAAGGCAGATGATACAATAGCTGAGTGAGGCCAGAGGACAAGGGGAGGGTGACAGCTATTAGTTCCCCCCAGGGATGTATTTTTTTGCTAGACTGTCTCAACTTTTTTGATTTTCATGAACAAAAGGTTTACCCTCCTACCAGGACAGTGTTCCTTCATCTCTTCTGTGGGGATTATAAATAGCACCTAATTCCAAGGGAGCCTGACACTCTAGAATAGTCAAGTCTAATTGGCATTACTATCCCAGAGAAGATGTGGGCAAACTGGAAGCTACATAGTCCATACACTCCTTTCTTCAAATTGTGAAGCAAAGAATAAGAGAGGGTGAAAAAATGAATTTGGTGATACTTCTTCTCCTGTTTCCATGTTCCTCCTGCCCTTTATCCAATAAATATCTCATGGATGTTTCCTTTCTGGAGAACTGAACAGACTACATGAGCCTGTATTAAGGAGCCTATTATTTTCCTCTTCAATGTGATTTCTTAGATTGCCCCAGGCAAACATACTACATGTTCGCCACACTGTTGTTTATGAGACTGTGTTGCTGCTTTTTCTATACAGGGTACTGAACTTGCTGGCGTTGATGCCCTTGATCTTTTTTTTCCTCACAGTGGTATAAGAAGCCAGATTACAATCTCTTCACTCCTTATATTCAGCATCGTAGGAAGAACCCAAATCAACCCTTTTATATTCTTCATCCTAAATTTATTTGGCAACTCTGGGACATAATCCAAGAGAACACTAAAGAGAAGATACAACCAAATCCTCCATCTTCTGGTTTCATAGGTAAGGGGTTTCTTTTGTTGTTTTAGTTTGTTTTGATGTACTACCCAAAGTTTCCATGATATGCAAAAAAAGTTACAATTTTTTTTAGCAGAGCACAAACAGAGTATCAGGACAGATTAAGGAATCTTGGGACTCCTGAGTGAGAGAAGACATTGGGACATAATCAGTACTCTTAAATATTTGAAAGATTGCCAGGTGAAAGAAGGATTAGATTTATTCTGCTTTGCCTCTTGAGGACAGAATTTGGAGCATTTTGTGGAACATGCATTGAGGAAAATTTATGTAGGATAATAGATATAGATCTGGACAGGACCTCAGAGATAATCCAATCTAATCCTTTTACTTAGGCTGGATGCAAAGGGGAAATTAACAATTAAAAGCTGTTCAGAACTAGAATGGAATGTCTTAGAAGGGAGTGAATTGCTCCTGGGTGGAGGTCTTTAAGAAAAGACCTTGTCAGGTATGTTGTAGGGGTAATTCTTTTTCATGTAAGTACTGGACTAGATGGCTGCTGGGGTACAATCTATTTCAGTTCAATCAAATGCCATTCAATAAACATTTATTCAGTACCTATTATGTTTAAAACACTGGCATACAAAGACAAAAAGGAATCCATCCTACCCCTTAGGATAGCAGGTAAACAGACAGTATGCCGTTAGTTTGGGGGGGATGAGAAAATAACTAAAGCTGAAAAGATCAGGAAAAGTTCGGAGTAAGGAGCTAAGGAGAAGGGAGATTTAGAGAATGATTTTGGTATGCCTTGGGTTAAGAACGTACAAAGTTGCTGGGTTGAGGTGTGGGACTTTGGCATACAATAGTAATGTAGTCTTTGATGTACAACTCAGGAAAGAGTTATGATATGAGTTAAGATATGGGTCTGCTTAATATTGTTTTAAACATCACTAGTCCCCTTAGAAAGGGAAATCCTTGACACTCTTTCTCAGTTACTCATGTGAAATCCCAAGTTCTTCATTTCTTGTTCATTTGGAGAGAAAAGATTCTATTCATTTAAGAAAGAACGCGTAATATAGTTTGCCAGGAAAGAATATACAGAATGAGATAATTCATAAATAACATTATAGGATGTGACAGAAGCTTAATAAAACCTTCTTTAGAAGGTGGCCTTTTTATGAATTCGTCTAGATAATATTGAATTAGAACAAAACACTTTAAAATGCAAAGGGAGATTGTCAGATTTTGTTGTTGTATGCCCATAGACTCAATAGGTCTAAATGTAAAAAAGGCTTTCTCAATACGTGAAGGTTGAAAGAAAATGCTTTCTAATTTCAAAATTGCCATTGCTATCTTCAGTCCATTCACTCTGGAACCACCTAAAGCATACAGAACAGAGAAGACCAAAATGACATCACTATGTTAGAGTCAAGTTTCAGTGTGTCTGACTGTGGCTGATCAGACCAATACGAGCTCAGAACGTTCTACCGCAGGTCGGGCACAAAAAGTCCATGTGAGAATTGGGGTGGATTCCTTAATTTTGCACATCTTGTGTTTCCTTTGAGCTATTTCAATTCTGCTTTGCTTATAGAGCACAGCACCTGAATATTTCCTTATGCAAAGAGGAACATAGACAATCTTAAGTGAAACCACAAACCTTAATAGATATAACCTGTTTTATTGTTGAAACATATAATTAATATGGGACAGCTAGGTGGCACAGTGGACAGAGTACAGGTCCTGGAGTCAGGAGGACCTGACTTCAAATCTGGCCTCAGACACTTGACACTTAACTAGCTGTGTGACCCTGGGCAAGTCACACAAAGAAATGTTGATGTGTGTGTGTGTGTGTGTGTGTGTGTGTGTGTGTATACACACACACACACACACACACATATACACACATTTGTATATACATATGTATGTATAAAACAAATTCAACACGTTAAATTTCAACTCTTCTGCTTCTCCATATCTTCCTCTGAACCTCCCACCTCCTCTTCTGTTTATTCTTTAGATGATTCATTGACATTTTTTCCTTCTTTTCTTTCATTTTGGTATTGCTATCTCTACTCCTCCACTTCCTACCCACATTCTGTTTCCTTATTTTTTAAAATCTCCAATGTTAAAAATGAACATAGTAAAGCAAAACAAATCCACACATTGGCCGTGTCCTACAATGCATGTCTCATTCTGTACTTTTAGTCCATCATCTTTCCCAAGAGATGAAAGTCTGTTTTACCATTGGTCCTCTGTAGGTATATTTGGCCATTGCATTGATTAGAATTCTTAAATCTTTCAAAATTGTTTTTCTTTACAATGTTATAATTATTGTTTAAGTTGTTCTCTTGATTCTGCACACTTCGCTCTGCATCAGTTCATACAAGGCTTTACAAGTTTTTCTGAAACCATTCCTTTCATTATTTCTTATATAGCAAAATAATATCCCATTACATTCATAGTCCATAATTTGTTCAGCTATTTCTTTATTGATAGGTACCAACCAGTTTCTAAATCTTTGTTGTAATAAAATATTTATATGTACCAGGTCCTCTCCCTCTTTCTTTGATCTCTTTAGGGCATATGTCTAAGGTAATATTCCTGAGTGAAAGGGTATGATGGTCTAGTGACTTTTTGGGTATAATTCCAAATTGCTTTCCAGAAAGTTTTGGTCAAGTCCCTGTTCCATCAACAAGGCATTCATGTTTCTGTTTTCTCTCAGCCTAGGTTTTTATTTTTCCTCAGCTTTGTCAAACTAATCAGATGAAGAAGGAACTCAAAGCTATTTTAATATTCATTTCTCTCATTATTTGTGATTTAGAGCATTTATTCATATGATAATTAATAGCTTGTTCTTTTCTTTTGAAAACTGCCTGTTTATATCTTTTGACCGTAAATATATTAGAGAATGGCTAATCATCATTTCCAAATACATTTCCCTCCTTTCCTGGAGAGATAGTCCTTGTAACAAAGAATAAAAAAGAAAGGGAAAAAAAGCAATTCAGCAAAACTCACCAACATATTAATAGAATTTTAAAGTGTATTCAGTGTTCCATGCCCACGGTCATCTACTTCTACAAGGCAGGGAGGGAGGTGCATTTTCTCCTTTATTCTTTGAGCCCATTCTCTTGATCTTCATGAATGGAGACAATGAAACTCTAAAGTGATTTCTTTAATCTCTCTTTTGGTTAAATATAAATACATCACATTATAACCAACCTACACTTAAAAAATCATACCACCAAGAAGCTCTGCCCTTCTGTGACCTTATTCATTCTTTTTCTTTCCCTGTACTCTCTTAAAATAAAGGTCAGCTTTTTGAACTGAAAATTTCCCTTTATATTACCCCGTCTTAGTATAGTCAAGTTCATTGCTTTCCGAAGCAATGCTGGATCAGCTTTTTTTTTCTCAGAAATTATTTGTTAAAGTTATAGTTCATTCGTTCTGAATATCCTTTTCAGCTATCATTATCCCTTTGCTCTTCCTCAAAAATATGCTTAAAAATAGATGGAACTCATTGTTCAATTTATCTGATGTCCTTCTCTGGGAAATAATCTATTTTTACCGACATCTCAATTTATTTGACATCAAAAATGAAAATAAATCAATATGTGCCTTTCTTCTGTTACAAAAAGGAATCCTCCTAATGCCCCTTCTATGTTCTGAGGTCATGCTGAAAAAGATATTGACTTTTTGTCATTCAACCTCATCACTTTCGAGATACCTTTAGCGCCAAAGTCAGTTATTGAACTAAAGATTCAACCAAAAGGCCCTTTAGACAGATTAGTGTGCTTCAAGGCTTCAGCCTCTAAAATTTTTGCTCTAACTAATGGATGAGGAATATTTTTATCCTTAGAAATGAGGGCCATAGTAATTTTCTTTAGGCTTTGCTTCTCATAATTAATACAAGGTTCAGGCTTATAGTAAGTCCATGTGAGCAAACTTCTTCCTAATTGTATGTGCATGCCTGTAGGAGATAACTTACGAAATGTGAGTCTATTTATCTTTTCTAATACAGTACAAGGAGAAGAACACTTCAGCCTTCCACACATCTTTGGCTCGAATTAGGTTTTTGTTCATTCATCTGTGTCTCCATTATATAGGCAGCTTTTGACTTACAAAATATGTTCTTTCCTGAAAATTGTTTCATATATCAGTTGTTTGGAATTTGAATAACAATTTCCCATCAAAGCACTGCTATAAGTTATGACTAGATTAATAAGTAAGATTATGCAACTTAATATATGATAATAATTATAATAATAATCTGAGTTCTTTTAGGATTTGGGGCCATGGAATCATGAGGTACAGGAGGGAGGTGGCTTCTGGAACAGAAAATGTCTTCCCAGCATCCTGAGGAAAAGGGCAGTTCTCCACAAAATGTCAAAAGGAGAAAATACATATTTAGCATTCTCAAGTCTCCTTTGTATACCATCTCTCAAATTCTAGTAGTCTTTCTCAGCTGACCCCCCTCTCAATTGTCCCCAGATGCCCATCTCCATGTTGTCTTGAACATCTTTAATTCAATACTCTTTTCCTTCCATTTTGTCTCTTCCAAATGTTATCCATAGATGTTTCCTTTACATACAAATTGCATTACTTCACTCAAATATAAGCTTCTTGAAGGACAAGACTGATTCATTTTTTGTCACTTTATTCATAGGTCCTTGCACATTGTAGACACCTAATAAATGTTTGTTGAATTGAATTGAAATTCAGTTAATTAATCTCAGCCAAATATCAGAAGGAAAGCAAAATAATCATTAAATTAAAGATGGTTTAAGTAATTGATATCCTTCACTTGATTACTACTACAGAATTATTTATATTTTAGAAGAGTAGAATTTCAAACTTTGTAGCATAGTGAAATGGAAAAAAAAAGAAATTATGTGCTAAGTTGAGGGCCACCCTCTACTTCTCACCCACCCCCCCACAAATACACAGACAAGGTTTCCACCTATTTTTCACATAGTAAGCACTTAATAAATGCTTATTGATTGCTTTTCATGGAATATTAGATTCAAAAGGTTTCTTAAAGTTACCTAACC